GGCGGGGGGGAGGGGGTTTGTCATATTTGATTTTGGGTATCTATTTTTATATGTTTTGTGTGGGGGCATCTCCATCTGAGGGCATGCGGCTGTGCAGTGAAAACACTCTGCTCCTGCTTTATTGAACTCATTCGCTGGTACACCTTGTATTCTCTTGCTCTCTAACCTGGTTTACATTGGACACTGAGTTGGACTGAAACGGAGGCAAAAAGAAGAAGAAAGTGGGCTTGGAGTGGCAGAAAGAGGCAGTAAATTCCGTCATTGTTGAGCAATGCTAGTAGAAGAAACACATTTGTTATCTGAAATCTCACAAACAAGAGGGAAGGAAAAAACTTGTTTATTCATGCACTGCCAGTTGGCAGATCTCTTTGTTTAGAGAGCACTGAGCCTTGAGTGTCGATTGTTGCAATTGCGATATTTACTTAGGTGACTTTCCCAGAAAGGGTGCAGAGTGGAAATGGCTTTAGAATGTGTTTGTGTGATTTTTGAGGAGAGACTGTGCGTGGCATGAGAGCTCTTAAAAAGAGAGAAGAAAAGAAAAAGAAAAAAGATAAAATACATCCTGTCATGATCATACATGCAGCATTATTTTTTTACCAAAGCACCGGGGCTGATTTTTTCAGCAAAGGACATATACTTAGTATGTCAGCAGAACCTTATTATAGCGGAGGGTGGGTCTTCCACCCACAATAGATATCCTCAAAATATTCCTCACAGTGTGAGGCTTTCCTAGCTCTAGCTAGGAAATTATTCCTGGAATGTCAGGATCTGAGGATGTGGTGTTATATCTTTCCCCCTCTTTTTTATACGTGGGGAAGCTCTGCAAATGACTGGCTTTACTGCATTGCATCTGTTCTTATCTCTGAAACATGAATACCAAGCTGGCTGTGTTGGGATTTCTGAAGAACAGGAATAGGTAATGTGGTTGGGTACTGCAGTTCTTGTGCTTTTGCAAATCCGATTTTTAAAAGGAACTCTGAACTTTAATCCCTAACTGATGCACTTAAGAAAAGCCTCTCCCCTAAGGCTTTGCCCTCTGAAGATAAAAATTCCGCTTTTTTTAAGGTATATTGAGCTGGGCACTAGGAATATTAATCCCTTATATAAAATTTCAGATAAGTGAATATAAATCAGATATTTAACATATACATGAGTATGTGCAGGCACATGTCTGTTAGTGCTTGCCTACACTAGAAACTTTTTATGTAATTGTTTTAGCATGGGAAAGGTACGCAGTTTGTAGAGGTAGTTTGCAGTGGCAATATTACTTCCTCTGCTACTGTCAAAGAAGACTAACTGCCTTAACCAGATTGGAAACAGAGTGTGAAATTGTCATTTAAAGTCTCGTTGTTTCAGAACACAGCTCCTACTTGAACATATAATGTATTAAGACCTCCAGCATTTTTTTTTTGGAGGGGGAGGGAAAAAAAAAACCAGTCTTAAAGTCTTGGTTTTAAAAATGTCTTCAACGTAAGTAAATTCACTTTGAAATATTTAGCTGTGCCTGTACACTCTGTACACAGGCTGTGTTTTTTTTTGCTTTGCTCTCCACTGGAAAGTGTTGGTCTGCTTCTGTGAAACTGAGCTGCACAGAGATTTATTTGCAAAATGTTTGGAAGATGGGGGTGGCAGTCGATAGAGATTATTAAAAAAAACCAAAAAACAACTTGTGAAAACCAGGTTTTCTATGTCTGGTATAGGGATTGTTAAATATGAGGAACTTCAGAAAATATGGCCTCTAGCATGAATGGAGGGTTGTACTCTGAAATATCACCCTAGTGTTTATATGGATTACTGGGAGTTTGAACTCCTGTTTCAAGTAGTATCTTAGTTGGAGGAAAAACCCATCTCTTACCAATCACATCATATCCCCTTGCCCATTAGCAGCAAATTCTTGTGTGGAATATGAACACAAGGAAAGTAATTAATGTATTTTTAGCATTTTTAAAAGAAATTAGCACTAGGGAAGATGACTGTAGTCTACAGGGAGCAGATGTTGAGGTATCCTTTTAAAAGGTATCCCAAATTAATATTTAGCTCATGTGGTACAATGTCACTGTAGTTCAAGTCGTATACTGGTGACATTTTTTTGAGCTCAGAGGCAGTATCTATTTATCTTAGCAGGGAACGTGATCCTTGGATCTTCAGGATGGCTGCTTATGTCTTTGTAACATGCAGTTCCCCAGGCTGAGAGAAACAGCAGTCCCAGATTTCTACCATTCCAGTGTCAGTTTTGAAATGATTCCCTGCCACCTTCAGGGTATTGCTCATACATTTCTAGTTTGGGTTTTTTTGGTGGTGTGATAGAACATGAAGTTCGCTCTAAATGTAGCTGTTTAAAGCACATGCACACACTTCAATTTTCTTCTGTCCCACGGCATTCCTATTCTTAGGGTAGCCAGCATCGAGGGTATCTTCCATCAGGCATTATGGCAGCCACATAGAGAGTGTACATCATGACTGATTTAACCAGGCAGAGCCTTGTAATCTGCTTTTTCCTCTTCGTGCTTTGGAGCTGGCCAGTGATAAGCGGGTGTGGGTGTGAACGAGTTAAATTGTGCTATAGAGGAAGAAGGGCTGCTAAAGATAAGCGGGGTCCTGCATTACTTTAAAGCACCTAATAAGAGATCCTGGTTAACAGTTTGTGGTAGGAAATTGCACCACTGACGAAGTACTAACTGGAAAATCCAGTCCTCTCCCTTCCCCTTCCAGCTCAGTCCTGCCTCAGCGGAAGTGACCACAGCTGACGGGCGAAGGGTAAGAGATGAACACCCATTGATTAGGGCTAAGGTTAGGAAAGGCTTTATTGCTAATACCTAGAGCTTGAATTAGCACCAGGTTTTGGAAACAAACCGAATGTGTGCATTTCCTGTCTGCTCAGAGTGGGAGAAGGAATCTTCGGCGCTTCAGGGGTTACCTTTTGCTTTTCTGTCTTGTGCTATGTTAGTAAATACTGCTGCTACTGCTGCAAATTGCCTTAGCTTAAAACTTGGCATGGTGTGTCCTAAGACTTAATGTCTCGGATCTTTCATTTAATTTTGTAATCTTCCTTTTCCTTCCTGTTAAAAAAAAAAAAAAGAACAGAGCTTTACCTAGTTTCTAGTTCAATCAGAGGAGTTCTCAATGTCTTATTAGTATAGCATGCTTAACAAATAACCCAAACCTATTGAGATTAGGAGTGACAAAGGGGTATTACTAAAATCTTATGCATGCTTCTTATGGAATGCTGTTTTCTTCCCCCAGCTTCTGTGCATTAACATCCTGTTGTCTTTATTGTTTTCAAGCCAAGTTAATTCCTTGGACCTTTTATATTGCATTATTTTTTTCCCTTCCCATGTTACCCCACTCTTAAATCCCTGACTTTCACTGAGCACAGCACAGAAGATAACACCTGACTGCTGGCAAGTTGCATCAACGTGACCTGTCCATTGCTGTCAGGGCCAAGCTGTCAATGTGCTGCTCCACGTGAACTGCTGCTTCTTGTGTAATTCTTGCTGCAGTTCAGGGCTGTGTGTGTGTTCAGTGTGTGGCTCAAGTTCAGTGTGTGTGTGTGCATGCACAAATTTGGGTTGCACGACTGTGTTCAATTGAGCAAAGTACTCCTTAATCTCTTTATCAGAAACAACAAATTTCTGCATTGGCCAGTATACCACAAATACCTGTGTCATTCTGTTCAGAGCTAATCTAACCACCTTGGAAGGAATTTTTAAAGATTTTCTTAGAAGTGGTCTCAAATATGGCACTCTGAAAGTTCAGATTTGGGCCTGTTAGTCTGAAAAGCATTACATTTGGTTTGGGGTATTGTTTGATATTTGGGTCATTTTGAGTAATGAGTGATTTTGCAGTGTAAAAGCTCAGTCTCCTGGGTTTCAGAGCATTTCTGCTGCCTCGCAGATGGAGATGGCCAAGGCATGAAGGTGCTGATTCAGTACCACAGCTGAGCTGTCTTGATTACTCTTTGTCTGTGTAATGGTTTACTGACAGTTCACAAACCTGACAGTCACGCAGGAAATGCTTTTTTCTGGTTGTTTCCACCTCCTGCTGTGAGCAGCTGGATCTCTGTAGGATCATTTGTGGCGTACTTGCTTCATTCACACTCATTCCTCTGTCTCCCTTGCCCAGGAAGGATACATGACTTGCTGAAAAGAGAGAAAATGCTATGCTGGGGCTACTCGTCTTACGGACAACCTGGGATAGGTAGCAACCTCCAGGTCATCATTCCTGAACCACAGGTATATGGGTTCATCCATGATAGAAATGTCAAGGAGGTGGCGTGTGGAGGAAACCACTCTGTGTTCCTGTTGGAAGATGGAGAGGTGTATACCTGTGGCTTGAACACCAAAGGTCAACTGGGGCATGACTGTGAAGGAAGCAAGCCAGGTAAGTCTGCTTTTTATGTGCACTTCAAACTGTCTTGAGGCTGGTGGGCTGAGAACATTATGGGAGCTGCTTTGTGCCGATTGCTGTAGAGCTGGAGCAGCCAGCAGAGCTGATAATCGTGTCACAAAACACAGTAGTGATGCTGAATAACACTGGCTGGCTCTGGAAAGCTAAAGCTGAGCAGCATGGGTGAAGAGACAGGTCTGCTCACTTTGCCTGGGAAATGCATCAAAACAGAGGCGAGCACAGATGGTCTCGGGGCAGATTTTGTTATCTGGCATTATGTTGTCTCTTTATAAAACGAGGAGAAGCCCATGAGTCACGAGTGTCTTCTGCTTTGTCTTTCCAATTGCACTGCATTGTTATGCCCACTCTTATTCAGCTGTTGCTGGGAATTTTCTCACTTACACCAAAGAGTACAAGTGTATCTATGTTGAGTAGAGTTGTGGAGAGCAAACTTGTGTTTGGCCAAGAGGCTCTGTGAGTTTTGTTTGCCCCTTTCAGAATCCCTCGTTGACTTGTGCCTTCACTCCTTCATGCTTTCTTAATATGAAAGAAGATCACTTTAGTGTTGTGTTCCCCAGACTCACGTGCATCTTATCATTGTGTTCCTGTGGACAAGAACTCATGAGTGCTGAACCACAGGCAGCTACTGCCTCTCCTTCCCAGGGTGAAGGAGTGGTTTAATTGTAAATTGTTCTTGAAAGAAGCCCTGAAGCCTTTCTTCTGGACTCTTTTGAATGTTGGCCTTCCAGTTTATCTTGCATTAACTTCTTGGTTTTGGCATGTGGTAAAGATACAGGTATTTCTGTTTCCATAATATAAAAGTCCTGTGCGGTGAGTAATTAATTCCTCAAACTGCAGGTTACCCTCTGTAGGGCTTGCGTCTTCTCCAGTGTAACCTATTATTGCATGGTAGAAAGAAGGTGTCTGCAAGACAGCCACAGTTCCCCGTGCAGTATGTGCAATTCTGATCTGACTGACCCTGCTGTGCTCCTGTCCTCTGTCAGTGTCTTTTGTCTCTTCCTCTCAGAATGAGCCGGCAGGCGGTGGATGATGTGGTGCTGGATTAGAGGAGTTGACCTTGAATCTTCCCTCTCTTGCTTTTCCTACAAGTAGTTTCTAAACAGTTAGTGAAAGAGGTTGGGAATAGCAGGATTGCTGAAGTCCTCTCTGTGCAAGTCTTCTGAGGACTTGTAAATTTAAGCCGTGGAATATGTGAGATGCTTGGTAAAAGGAAGCCAAGCCTAATGAATATTCAGCTTAAACTTCTGAGGATACTTCATCCTGCAAATCACCCAGCTAACTCAAGACTAGTGAGGAGGCCCCAGAAATTCAGTACTGTTTTGAGTGCTGCAAAGATACTCTGAAGAACATCTTCAGGCTACGCTGCTGTTTTACCCATCAAATTAAGCAAGCATAATGATGATGAAAATGGAGGATTTACAGCAAATAGATCAGAGCTGGAAATGGACTTAATGAATCCTGAATGCTGAAGTGTAGACCTCTCAGCTATGTAATCCTGCTCAGCTAGATCTGTAGAAGAGGGCCATTCTGAGATTTTGAAGCAGAAATGAAAGGTTCCTTGTGTTTGATCCCAAGTGCCCTTCTTCTACCCCTTCAATTAGGGTCTGTCACCAAGATGTGAAACCAAGTCCCAGTTATCCTACAGGTTTACTTTCTTCTGAAAAAGGTTCTGCAGCACTGCTCTCTGAGGAGTCTTTGGCCATCCTAGAGAAATGGTGTTTCAACACAGCATTACTGGCTGTGGCTGCAGTGGGATTTCTGCTGGCTGGAGCAGGTGGCAGGGATGTGCTGTAAAGCAGGGAACAGCTGCTCTTTTTAGCTTACAGTGAACAGTCACAGCAGTCTTTATGGTAAGAGTGAAGTGGGGGAGAGCCCCATCACACACTCCTCTGTGCTTTGTCGTGCAACACTGGGAACTGAATTTCTTAGTTTTCATTTGCAAATGGGAACAAGAAGAATCAAGCCTTCCTCTTTCACCCCCGCTTCCTCTGCATGGAATAAAGACAACCTTACACCTTCTGTGTAGAAAGGCCTGTTGAAGACGATCTTTTCCATTTCCCATTGTTGTGGGCCCATGAACAAAGCTGTGCCTGATAGGTGATGGAGATCCGTGTGTGCAACACGGGGTCCTGAGTTGTTGGAAATGATAGAGAAGACTGTCAGGAAGAGTCTGTGGTAGAGAATGGGAGAAATGCCAGGAACTGTGAGTCCTAGAGCTGCATCTCTCCAGCTCTGCTGGACAGGGCAGTGTGGGCTGAGGTCCCTTGGTTTCCCTGCCCTGTGGCTTGATCCTGCCAAGCCTGTGACGACAGCTAGAAGTGGGTGACCTCTGCCCAGCTCTGGAAGTGAGCTCCATCTCCTGATATAGGAGGCTATGACACAATACAGATTGTCCCTTTCAGGAAGCCCCTGTGGAGCCTTCTCTGGGCTTCAGAAATGCTTACCAGGGCTTTACAGAGTGCCTTGGTTGTGTTTGAGAGTAACACGGAGACACAAAAATGTGCAAGGGGTTTTGAACCTTGTGAAGGCTGCATTGACTTCCTAGGGGTGGAGCGATCCCCTTCCTGCTGCCTGGGTCTTCCCTAACAGGAAACTCCCTTTTATTTCTCACTATCCAGTTTTGCTTCTCTTTCATGCTGCTCATGAAAATGTCAAACAGTGGCACAGGATTGGTTCCGCAGTTCCTCATGGAGGAGCCCTTTGGAGCGCACCTTTTGACATGAAAGAAAACGTGTTAATTAAGAGCTGTGTTTATGGTCACATCTGCTGACCTTGTGGATATAATGTGGAGAGGGGGATAGCAGCTGGCAAAGTGATTCTTATGCCTCTCCTCTACAGGGAACACAAATTGCTGGGGGAGTGCATGCCACTGAAAAAGCATAAATCAGTAGAGGTTTATTTTCTGGAAGTGCTCTTTCCTCTGTATTTTACATTGAGGTGCTAAAATTAGTATTTAAGATGCTTAAGAAATTTAGCCAAACTAAAATAACATTCCTTTTGACTAAAAGCTAACTGCTTCTAAGTGTTTCAAACTCCCTCCTTTTGATGACACCAGGGTGATACCAGGTGTGACACTCCCATTGCTCTACCACAAGCCAGTTTCCCACATTGTCATGCTGTTTGCCAATTCAATTTTTTTTTTTCTAGTTGTGGTGATTGGCAAGGTACTTGAAGAGCTCACCCCTCTTAGGGGTGGATATCTGGCTTTGTTAATACATACATGATCGTTTTTCCTCACATCTCCTTTTTTTTTTTCCTTTTCCTCCCCGAAACATTCCGTAGTTTGTGTCTGTGCAATCACTTGGCAGGGATGCAGAGGGAGAGGAATGCTGTTCCAGCGTTCTCTCACCATGAGCATGATTAATAAAGCTTCTGTCTGACCTGCCCTAATTTTCACTTGTGTTGTTACGCCCTTGAAGTCTCCAGAGTCTCTGACCATGTCTTAGGAGAAGCAACTTGGCAATTTTGGTAGTGAAGTATTGAAGCCTCTGTTTTGCAAAATTAGTCTGAGTCTGCGTTGATTTCCTGAAATTTATCAGATGATAGCATACATTATGTCTCTAATGGGAAGCAATAATTTTGTACTGCAGTAGTTTTAAGGGGGGGAAAAAATATTCTTCATAAGTATATCTAAATTTTGCCTTTTTCAGTCCCTTAATTTCACTTGGATTGATTTTCTTCTGGTCTGCCATGATGTCTTGGCTCCCTGTGATGACTCTTAGATAAGTGTTTTATCTGAGTCTGCCTGCTGGAGAACAAAAGACAGGCTGAGGTACCTAAGGTAAAGGCTCTTTGGGGTCTGGGTGGAATTATAGAGGAGTGTGAAACAACTAGCTGGTTGTTTGTGGTTCGTAAAGCTTTAAAAACCTGCCCCAGTCTGAGATGTGGAACTTGTTTTTGGCTCTAGATATTTGTTCTGTTCAAGTAATTTGGACTGCATTTGACTTCTGCTAGTGGGAAAACCTGGGCTTTGGTAATTAGTGTCTCAAGAGAGCTACAGAACAATGTTGCAAGCCAAATTTGCCTCTAACCTTTTGTCTGGTAAGATACAGCAGAGAAACCTATGATTTTTTCACAAAATTCCCTGTCTGGATACAAATTTGCAGGGGAGCACTGCCTTTCACAGCATTGTGGAATCTCTGCTGATAAATAGAAATATCATCATAATGTCCATTCTCTTTCAAGAATCAGGAAAAAGCACCACCAAAACAAACAAACCAGCCTAGGTGCTCCAGATCTTCTGGATTTCTCTGAACTGAGTGGCCTTTCTTTTCAAATGTAAGTCCACTTGTCCTGGGCCTCAGCAGAGGATTACATCTGCAGTGAGCTCTGTGTTCAGGGCAGCATGCTTGTTAATCATAAACCCCGGGAACAGCTGAGAATTCAGATGTGCCACCTGCTTGGAAGGACAGTCTGTGTGGATCTTCCTGTTTTAGCCTCTTCCCGGTGGGTGAGAAGTCAGCCACGAGGTCCTGGTTGCTCTGGAGGAGAGGTGGCAGGGCTTGTGTTTGTCATGAGCAGACAAAGAGCTGTGTGTGTTTATGTTTCAGCACCCATTGTAAATGTTATTTGGGGGAAAAAAAAAGTGATTAAACTGGTCACCCCTTGCAGAAGTTGGGTATGTTCATTTGTACCCATCCCTCTTGCTCCTTTGATCGATCACAGGAGCTGACCAAGCTGTTTCAGGTTGCTGTGCCTTCACTAGTGGCTGTAGTGGATTTGCTTTATGGAGTGTCAATTTCAGCTGAACTTGTGCCTTTTGGGCTTCAGAATGATTTTAAAATTAGATGTCGGAATTTAAAATTAACTTAATTTAGAAACAGTTGGTATTTGGTTGAATGAGAAGTAAAGGAAGTGCTTTCCCTGAGATACCTTAAACATGCCTACATTGTGTTGAATTGGCTGGCTGACGGGTTTGAATATGCCAGATATTTTTAGTGGGAGTTGTTTTAAAATTTGTGTGGTCTTGGTCA